GGCCATGGCAACTACTGTTTGTGAACTCAAATGGCTGAAATCCCTTCTCTTCTCCCTTGGTGTGCGTCACAAACAACCCATGCGGTTGTTTTGTGATAATCAGGCTGCTCTTCATATTGCCGCTAATCCGGTCTTCCATGAACGTACAAAACACATTGAGATTGATTGCCACTTTGTACGTGACGAAATCCAACGAGGTGTTTTGTGTACTCGCCACATCTCCACCAATGATCAACCAGCAGATCTCTTTACAAAGGCTTTGGCTTCCGCTCCGTTTTCTCATTTACTGTCCAAGCTGGGCATCCAGAATCCGCATGCTCCAGCTTGAGGGGGGGTATTGGAACTGAGAAGTCCGGATCCGGAGAAGTCCGACTTCCGAGGAATCCGGATTCCGAGAGATCCGGAATCCGAGAGATCCGAATTCCGAGAAATCCAAACTTGAGAAGTCCAAATCCTTTCATGACCGAATCCCATTCTAATTAGGATTGATCTTGACTTATTTGTTTCCTAGTTTGATTATGATTTGTTTCCTTGTAGGATTTGTATTCCTTGTCTTTTTTTGGAATCATCCTCTCCTATAAATAAAGGAGAAACCCCTTGTAACTAAACAGAACAATTGAATATACAGAATATTTTCCCTCTTATTATTTTCTACATATATAAATATAGAAAATTATCAGTAGTTTTCAAAAGGCTACAAATCCTAATTTGGCATGAAAGTCTATATATGTGGGCCTATACGAATACTCTCCCGTCCATAATTTATCTATCAAATAATTTAAATTGTTTATCTTTTCCTTTCTTTTTTGGCAAATACTACTCCGTATTTCTTTAAATCACATTATTATCTTTACCTTACACATTATTTACTATTTAATACTTATACTTTATTTCATTTTTGCAATGACACAAAGACAAATATAAAAAGGTAAAACATTTTTTACTTTTTTTAATTTGCGTATGAAATCAAAGTATGAAGATGATTTTAGACAAATCGGAAGAGTATTTCTTCCAGTCTTGAACTTTTAAAAATTGCATGGATACTCTCTAAATTTTAAAATTGTTATAATTGTTCCTGAACTTTTAAAATTTTGGTCACTATATGTTAAATTTGGGAATACGTTAAGGAAAATGCTAGAGTCACAAACATATAGTTCACAAATTTCACAAATTTGCTCTTTTTGAATTTAAATTAAAATATCTTTTATTATTTGAATACATCTTATTTTTAGGAAAGTGTTAAAAAGTAAATTTGTGAATTTTGTAAACGTTTTGTTTGTGACTCTAGCATTACTCATACGTTAATTACATTTCGGTCCAGTGCATTGTGAACTTATCTAAACTCATATATCACACATGGGTGATGCAATATGTTTTTCAAACATTATTTTATATGTTTTAAACATCTTGAAAACTCATATAATTATTCTTGTTTGAGCAATTCAACCCAAACCTGATCATAAACGATCTGATCGAACACTAAAATATTCAAACCGAATCAAGAATTCAAACATCTCAACCCGACTTAAAGAAAATCAAACCAAACCCGACAGTAGTCAGGTGGCGTGCATGCTCTTGATTGTGTTTCGTTTGACTTATTTTTTTCCTTATTACTTATTCTTATTATAATGATATTAGATCAGATCAGATCTAAAATAGTTTTAATTATAACTAAAATGAAATCTGATTGACTAGATTACATCAAATCAGGCGAATGGAACGCAGCCTTTAACTGACCCGACCGGACCTGACTCGAACTTGATTATTTAAAACAAAAAAACCTTACCTATGCTTCTACGGATACCGCATATAATATAATATAAAAAAATCACCCTAAATAAAAGCAAAACATAGAAAAATGTACCAAAATAAGAATTTCATATTTTTATTTTCTAAATAGGATTTCGCATTGTGGTAATATGTCATTGTAATTAAGTATTTTACTGTACTTTTCGGTAATATACATTGTCGTGATTGGTAATGTAAATATATTTTAAATCTTATTTCGAGAATAAAAATAAGGAACTCTTATTTTAATATATTTTCAATGTTTTACTCATAATAAAACATAATGACTTTCTCTAAATAGCACCACATGTGTTTTTCTTCCCAATGTAGTACTTTTAGTCATTATACATTAATCATATTTTGTCATTGATGTAACATTATTAAAAGTTCCTGTGTTTAGTGCAGTTCTAAGATTTAAAGAGAATTCGTAAAACAAATGAAAAAATTGAGTGTGAATGAGGCAAAAAAAAAAAACTCGAAATATTCTTTTTAAATACGAGTATTAATTACACATAGAAGAGAAGATATAAATACTTATAATTCTTTCACCACAGAGAATCAAAAAGTATATGATCAAAGTCGTCGCCACAGTCTGGAGCAAAAAGAAAAGGCGGGAACAAAAATCCGAGCTCCATTGACGACGACCGCTTGGCGCCAAAGTCAAACTCACTCCCTGACGTTGACGGCGACGAGCATCCATTTCCATTACCCTCCACCATAAACGGCTCCGTCCAGAAACTTCCGCCGTCAGCGACTGTTCCGTCACCTTCCGTCAAGAAGGCCGAGGAAGAAGAAGAAGAAGCTTCTCCACTTGACGCCGGCCGTTGACCGGAGCTCTCTGTGATCTCATCACGAGACGCCGGCGAGTGGTCGTCTTCGTTCTGAGACGAATTCTCGCCACCGTCGGATCTGCTTGGTGAAGATGAAGATCCCGCCGGAGACCCCTTGTTTGGCTTTCGCCGGCGGCGTGACGGCGGCGGCGGCGGCCGCTCTTTAGACTGTTTCTTGAGAGAAGTGTGCCAGTGGTTTTTGATATCATTGTCCGTTCTTCCCGGTAATTTCGCTGCAATACTTGACCACCTGCAATACATGTTTCTTTAATTTATTGACCATTATTACATGAAATAATACTAAAAAATATATCTAAATTTAATTATAATGTGAATTCAATATTATCGAGTTCATCTAATTAATGCGGAGTAACATATATTTCTTTAAAATTGAAGTATTTAATTTGTACTTAAGTAATGTCAAACTTTGGCAAAAGCCATAACTTGAAGATTAATTTTTTTACAGTATTCATTTCATTCCATATTAACTTTTATTTGGACATTTTAAATACATTAAAAAATAAATTAATGAAAAATAATAATGCACATGATAGAGCTTTAATTAATGTACCCATCAACACACTTATTTTAAAATGGAGTAAGTATGATGTAATTTTTAAATACATAAAATTTTGTTTCTTTAACTTTACACTAACTTTTAAAAAAACTTAAAAAATGTTGAAAAATAACTAGGTATTAATCCACACATTTCTATAAAAAGAAATTAGTAAAGAATTAAAAAAATTGGAGATATATGAAAAATTAAAGAAAATAGCCAAATTGGGAGTAGTTTTTTTTGTTACAAATAATGTAGGAAAAAATAAGAACAAAAGAATGTTGTAGCTAGTAACATACTTATTGCCTAAATGTTGATGCAAATTCAAGATTATTTGGTCCTCTTCTTTGCTAAACTTGCCTCTTTTGATATCTGGTTTCAAGTAGTTCACCCATCTCAATCTGCAGCTCTTCCCACACCTCGCCAATCCTAATTTTCATTAAATTAAACCAAAAAGATTTTAATTCATTAACCACTTCAAAATTACATGGTATATGAATTAAATTACATCATATTTTAGAAATATTTTTTAAAAAATAAATCTAATAAATTACTCTTCTCAATAATATTTAATACCATTTTTATTTAAATAGTGATTAAGAATCTGATCGTAAATAACATTAAAGATTAGCGTTGTCGTTCTAAAAAAGATATTTACAACCAGCTTTAGCATTATGGCTTTCAAGCTTAATCTACACCGTTAAAATTTTATCCAAAACGTTCACGCTAATCAAAATTCTATTTCCAAACGGCCGTAAAATTTAATTATGACGGTAAACAGTCATAATTAGTAATTAGTAAAATAACAAAATTTACCGGCGTATTTGGGAAGCTGTCGCCAATTCCAGCAGCCATATCTGGTAACATAATCAACTAATTTCCGGTCTTCCTCGGCGGTCCAACTCCCCTTACTAAACCCGGTCTTACCATCACAGTAACGGGTTCGTCCCATATTCGCCGGTTCGGAACTGTTAACCCGGCCGTGACTTGGTTCTGGACTCGCAAGGCCGCGTTTGGATGATTATAATACAGTGAGAATTTCCCGGTGGACGTTTCATTTGGAAAAATAATGGGATTAGGGAGGAGGGGAATTTATAGGTAAAGCCCATTGACCCGACCGGGCGAGATGGACCGCCGTTGACTCCTCTTTTTCCGCTGTGGGTGTAAGACTAATGAAATATTGAAATGAACGTCAAGGAACGTTCCAACTCCAAGCCATTACCTCTAGAAATGATATTTTCATTTGAATTTTCTTAGTGAAAATTTGTAAATTTTACCCTCAATAAATAGAAAAAAATTGTTGTGTTTCAATATATACTCCCTCCGTCCTATAATGATCTTCCCAGAGCACTATTTCAACTTCACGGGAAATTATATTTATTTGTGTTTTTTCATGGCCTATATGATAAAATAAAATATTCTTATCACCACTTGTTTTGTTGAACTTTTGATGTAGTTTTTAAATATGTATGTTTTATTTTTTATTTCTATACCAATACTTAAATAAAATAGATTGAAAAAACTTGAGGTTTTTCTTCGTTTTGCAAACCGGGAAGATCATTATAGGACGGAGGGAGTATATAATATCAATAGCTTTCTTATGAAACGTTGTTTTGGAATGTTAAATTTTAATCAAATCTATCCATGTACAAATATAGATATTGATGTTTGAAATGTTATATTAGAGACCGTAAAAGGTCAAATGAGAAAATCATTTATGGAAATAGAGAGTATACGACCTTTTTTAATTAAATATTTACCTAGGTTTAAAATGAGTGGCGGTGTTAACTCTATGCACTTTGATAAATTTAAAAAGTGTGTGTGAGCAAAAACCATGTTTTACTAGAGTCAGTAGCACTAGAAAAATAACAAGAACATCTGAATATCAAATTTATTTAAAACTTACAGTGTGTTTGGAAGGTTAGAAAATAGAGAGAAAGAAAATGTTAGGTGAGAAAACACTAAAATAAATGCAAATTCGCTTGTTTAGATATATGAGAAAATGGAGGGAAGAGAAAAAATAAGAAGGATGAGATCGTGTGAAAAAAAAATCTCATCATAGATGATGAGAAAATGGATGAAACAACTCTTTATCTTTTTTCAAATCTTTCCTATTTTCTTACTATTTTGCTATCAATCTAAAACTAAATAACGGTATAGTGTGCATCCTATTGAGAATTTTATTTTTATTTTAACATTTTGTTTTGGTTTTTATTGTCGTTAGGAAAAAATTAAAATTGACATATACAATTCGTTTGGCAACAAATTTTAGCGTTTGTAATTTGGAAATGACGATCTAACAACAGCAGTTAGGTTGTCGTCTTCAAAATTAATCGGTACTACTAAAATAATTATCAAAACAATTTAATCAAAAGTGTTGTTCATGAACTTCTCTTCTGGCTTGAGTGACAGAAAGCACATTCTTCTGAATTTATGGGAGAGTTTACCCAGATTCGAACCCCAATGGAGACGCACACATTGATTCTTGGTGCGTCATCTAGTTGAAAAAATAATGAATAGAGTTGTAACGGAATCAATATCACTCAAAAAAAATGATGCTCCTAAACAAGACCATAGTTTAATTAAAGTCTAATTCTAAACAAATTAGTGATTTGACTTTGGTGATGAACAAAACATATTTTAATTTACCCTTACAAAAACATTTAATCTTAACTTTGATTTTACTCATATTTGAAATATATTACCCCGTAAGAAATTTCGATCCTATAATAATTAGGATCCATTTCAAATGTGACATATTCAAAGTGACGAAATTCATCATTACTTATGTCACAAAGTTTATTCAAATTCATGGGTGTAAATGTGTAATATCAAAAATAAAAAAACTATATATGCCCCGGTTCACAATTGTAATGAAATAATTACAGATGAGAATGAGATGATGTCACGGATGCTTCCCATTTTTTCAAAAAATAAATTTATCATTTGACTTAAAAAAATTTAAGAAAGAGTTTTCGAAACTAAAAAAAAACTACAAAATATTTAGAGTGCGTTTAAAAGAAAGAATATAAATACTCCTTATTAACCATACATTTCTTTCTTTAAAAAGGAAATAAAAAAAAGTATGGAGTATTAATTTTATTTTAGGACTGACACAAAAAAGATGATCCCATTGTTTATATTCACCAAAAGAGCCTTCTTAATTACCCTACCATATATGGTTATAGTTTATTTAGATAGAGAGAAATGGTGTTACTTATATGCTCATTACTTTAAAATTAAACAAAGTGGAAAGTGGTTTTCGGGACTTACGAAAAGGAAGTGAGAAATGTTTTGTGCAACAGATTGATTATAAACAATAATAATAATCCCGAATGACTTATATATCAGAATCAAACAATAGTACTATCTGTATCACTAACCTTCGCCCCACACCGCACTCTTCTCAATATGCTGACCCGACTCGCCCGAGCTCCAGTATGCTGCAACTTCTTAACACCCTTCCTGTGCAACTCAGAACCCCCACTTCTCAGGGTCTCATTCTTCTGGTGCAATGCCTGTGATGCTTGCTTTGTTCCACACAGATGTCCAAAGAAGTACAAAGGGTTAGTGTAAGAAGGAGCTGAAGTGACAATGCCCTTAATATCAACTGGGTTCAGAAGCTTCACAAAGTCTTTCAACTCAGAAAAACAAGAATGGTCAGAATATGGGACAGTATATATGTGTTGATGGTACTTTTTGAAAATGTTTGGATCTATAACTGGAGGACCCAAAGGATGGTTCTTTCCCTTGTCGTTTTTCGCTACCCATGGAAGTCCAGATGGCATGATTCCGATTGTTGGACGCATTCTATTCAGACCTTCTAGAGTCTCGATGCTAAAACTGTAACGAGGAATCGCACGGACTCTGGTGAGAGAAGTTTTTGTTGTGAAGATGTCATGGAAACCGAGCAGGTGCATGGTCTGCAGGCGCTCCGGCCACACCCATATCTGTAACAAATTTGGAACGAAACAAATGAAGGTGAATAGACTAATAGACGGGCATTGGGACAAAGGGAGTATGAATGAAACAGGG